GGCAATCCCCAAGGATGTTATTAAGGCTTCCAACCACATCTGCTGGACTCCACCTTTAGAAAATGGCAACTACAGAAAGCAGAGGGCGGGGAGAGGGTTTAAATATCTAAAAGCCAAATCATCTAGGTAAGGACATTGGCCACGGTCTAACCCAAGTTAAGCACTTTTCAGCCCCACTGGTTTCGGTGGGAGAGATTTAAGCTTGTACTTAACTTTCAAGCCCAGAGAGCACATATCTTTGACTGGGCCATATCCTTTGGGTTTACTTTTGATAGAGCTGAGAAGCAAGGTCATAACTTGTTCAATTCTCCTTTTAATATCTGTTTTAAAATAATGTTTCTAGTCCTGTTGAATGCAGAGAAAAGGCAGTAAATAGTGTAGCCATCCTTAGTATTTTTTCTCATATGTGTTTCATATTACATTAGCGATCTGGAGAGCAGCAACGGCTGGGAAACAATTTTACAAGGACAGGAAGGAATACCACAGACAGAATAATTGTCACACACAGGAGGAATAAGGATATACTATGAATGGTTCACCTACAGATTTATAAATCATTTAATGTGTCAAGACGAATGGATGTTGTTAATACTGTATTGCCGTTGTTGTATAAGGGCTTGTTATTCTGAATGGAATGTCATTGAGACGAATAAGATTTTGGAATGCAGAAACAAGGTAAATCATCAAACCATCAATTCTAGCATGCAGCAGGCCACCTAAATTATATAAATTGGCATCTGAATGATTGGGATTAGTAATTGGATTATAAATTGTCATTGTTATAATAAAGCTACCATTGGATTACTGTAATTGAAAACTAATAAAAAATTTTGTCAACATATTACCTTAGCAATCATTACAATAACCTTGTAAGGTAGACAACTTTACATTGACTCTGAGGGCCACAGCAGACATTGCTGTTTATATGTAGGACATGTGTGGAGAGTGGGACCACATCGACCTCTCCAACCCCATTGCTGCTGCTGTGCACCCTGCTTCCCGGACATCCACATGTTCAACACAATGTTTACAAAAGAGATGTCTGTGCAAGACTGTCATGTGATCAGGAATCCTGATCACCCGGGGCTATGGAGTGCATGGAAACCTACACTTATTTCAGCTGTCTGTGCATATATAGGTATCTCCTTAGCAGATATCACACCTGCACAAATGTTGAGGGGGTGGGAGTGTATGATGGGTGGGGTCTGGAAGCACAGACCTGGTCCCCATTTGTGAATTTAGCCCAAGACATGAACAGCAACATCCCAAAAGTGTGGGCTTGTTTATAAGGGCTGGCTCATACATGCAAGCTGATCAGCTGATGATCTCAACCTCAAGTAGGGACCTGAAGTTCAAACACTGCAGGTGGAACATCACCAGTGCATTTCATTGGACATTCGCTTCAGACATACAACTTCAAGGGATAATAAATCCTGAGATGGTGCATTGCACAGACTTCTGTAAACCCAGTGCAAATGACTTCATTCACCATAAAGTTGGTTTACACCTGTGCTGAGAAATGAATGTGAGGACACTTATCTCTTAGCTAACCACAGACAGTACTAACATGGGGTGAGGGTGGCAAGTATCTGCCCTTGACACCAGCGATGGAGCAAGCCGATGCCCTGCGCGTGCCCCGTGGGGTGGGGCCAGGTGGGGCAGGACGCTCCACGAGGCCTCCAAGGAGTCTGCCTGCCTCCTCCCACTCAACCTCCCTACAGTTGGGGGGAGGCAGCGGGCGGACCTTTGGGCAGCGCAGAGCCTGCGGGCACCCAAGCCACCATGTCACTCACAGGAGAGACACATGGCTTGGGCATGTTTCAGGACCTGCGGTGAATGCCACCTGGCAGTTTGTCACCCCCCTCAGTGGTGACACCCGGGGCGGACCGCCCCCACAGCCCCCCTTCCTCCACCCCTGCTTGACACACAGCTTGACCCCACCCAACCCTCTTTTCTGTACTTCAAGGAAAGGTGTTTTTCAAATAGTCAGAGTCTGATCTTCAATCAATTATACTGGAGTAGAAATATATAAAGATAAGTGTTTGTACTGTGAACTTTGGCCTGAAGAACACATTTGGAGATTCATGGAATTTGTGGCATAAATGTGGCTTTAAACCTGTCATGGACACTAAATTCATGCACAATGACAAGAGAGGATGAGAGATGAGTGAATCCTAATTTCATTCTGCAGCTTATGCTTTGTGGATTTAAGGGTGCCTTTACAGTTTGGCATTCTCATCTATGCATTGTTCCACTTGCAAGGCTAAAGATGGCTTGAGGATTGCCTCCCTGTAGCAATCTAATTTCCCCCTTTTGTGCCCACCACAATGTTTTCTGTTCTGGTGCCATCACTGTAACCTTTGCTTGTAACCACCTCTCTAAGTGCTGTTATGTTTACAAAAGACTGAGATATCAAAGGGTGATGGGCATGGAAACTTGCCTTTAAGGAATCTCTTGGTTCCCTTCCCTTCCAAGAACAATTCATTAAGCCTGGATTCCAAGCTTTGTATCCATCACTAAAATAGAGGCCTCCATAATCCTCAGTAGATTCCCAAGCCATTTCCCCCCTGAGTTTCATGTTTAAAGCCAGGTTCTTCCTGGGCTGCATGTTTCCACCTGACACTGTACATCAGTGTGAGCCTTGCCCGGACCTTGCCCAGTAGTCTTGGCTGCTCAAAACATTCCTGAGTCTCAGCAAAAGCTCTCAGCAAATCCAGCCTGCCCATTTCAAGTTTGAAGCAAACCCCCAAACTAAGTGAAACTGGAGGGGTTTGGTAGGGAGGTTCTGCACAGCGCTACAAATAACTCCCATGTGTCAGGCCATCTGTTCCCTGCCATACCTCCATGTTTCTCTTTTCTGCCTAGGGACAGAGCATCAAAGCATGTATTATTTGAGCCATGTACAACAGCTGTATGATAGCAGAATCAAGGATCCCACTCCCTCCGTTCACAAAATGATTTTGCAAGAGATAAAGGGAGAAAAGTTGCAATAACATCTAAAGCACAACTTGTCTTGGGAGTCTTGCACATGTTTGAATCTTACATGTATATTCAGATATCCTGTATATTACATGAGAGACTACTGCAAAGAGATCCTTATTCCTCCATAGAGTGGTGATAACATTGGCTTCACAGCAAATGCTGGCTTGTCTACAACATTATTGAGGAAAGAATACACACACACACACACACACACACACACACACTGTATTGTAAAATGTAGATTGATCCAGAATGTGCAAATCAGGCTAGTTTGCTTATAAATGCAGACCCAATGAAGTTCTCTAGCATCCCTACTCCAAGACTGGGCTAACTTTAACAATGATGAACCAGGATCTACAGATAAAAAAGTGGACACTTCATTGTCTAGATCAGGGGTGGAGAACTAGCAGCACTCCAGATGTTGTTCTTGTTGGACTCCAACTCCCATCAGCCCCAGCCAGAATGGGCAACAATTAGGAATGATGGGAGCTGTAGTCTGGCAACATCTGGAGGATCGCTGGTTCCCCACCCATGCTCTAGATGGAAGGGTGAATTCAAGAGAGTCATGCAGTCAAGATTATAAAAGGAGTCTGTGACACAGGCTATTAACAAAGCTGGCTCATACTGATGGGAATTGGAATCTAATAACATCTGGAGAGAGCCACATCTTCCCCATCCCTGACTTATTAGATGCTAACATGGGTTTTGAAGGTAAGTTATTTGTCTTGGGTGGTTTGACTCCATTCCCTCCTTAGTTCCCTTTGAGCTGCCACAAGCAGATGCCCCCTCATTATCTTGGTAGGCATTTCAGTCTCTCAGATACCCTATCCTCTCACCAGGTGCTAAGAAATGCATCCAGCATCTATTAAGCAGTGCAATCTTATACGCTTTTACTCTGCAGTAAGTCCCTCTGTGTTCACTGAGGCTGACTCCCTTGTAAATGTGTGTAGGATTGTAGCCCTAAAGCATGTAGGAATTCTTTCCATAGGTTCAGATTCTAGACAGGAGGACCAGGTGAATCCATATTGTATAACGTTTTGATAAAACTTCAGATCTCACTAAAATAGACCCAACTATTTTAATAAAGCAAAACTCCTAGAAGCCCACATATGTTTACACTCAGCTGGCAATTTTTACCCACAAAGAATTAAACAGACAAGTTATCAGCTGTGAACCACAATGAACAAAATATGAATTTGCAAAAAACTGAAACCACAATAAGATTTAATGAAAAGAACAGTAACTTTTCATTTATCTAATGCAGCTCCAATTAAAAATGCCAAGCTGTTTAGTTAAAAATGAAGCCTAATTTAGTGAGGTTACAAACTGCATTCATGACATAGTTTTGTACTATGCAAAGAAAACCTAAGGACATATACATTTCTGCTACAACTATGAGCTCCCCCTGCTCAAACTGTGTGCTGAGTGGTCTACAAAATTCCACCAGAGGTGCTTTTTACAGTCTGCTTTGCAAAACAAAACCCAAAACACAGATCTAGTCATTGTCTAGATGCTACACTGATACCCGCCATACTTTAGATTTTCTTTTTGTAAATGTGGCATTAGGCAAAACAGTTTTGCCCTGAATAACTCTATTATGCTTCTAGTTCTATCTCCTGAATTCTATCCCCTGCTCATCCCTGTGCTTTCCATATCTATTTTACGCATGAACTGATGCATGTCTTGTTTTGCATTCCATCACCTCCCACCTTCCCACCTTCCAACGGCATATTTGCATGCAGGGCTCAATTCTTTCTTTCTCCATCCTGATGTAGAGCAGAGGGTAGCTTCTCTACAAGGAATTATTTGCTACTGGTGTTTGAAACCAGTAAGGATGTGGGGGCTCAGAAACTGTGCCCCCACTGAGAATGGAAGGAGGGGAGGAAAGGATTTTGTCCAATATCAATTACTGGTAATATCCTCTCTCCTGTAAGGTTTCATACAGACAATTCCCAGGTATATCCTGTGCCCTGGCTAACTTTGGAATGAGGAATGTTATCTAAGCTTGAATCCCTTACCTCTTGTGCAGAGAACAGGTGAGAGTCCTTCCAGTGGAGACAAGGGCAGTGTCTGAGAAATGCAACTAAAAAGAGTGAGGCTTTAACAAGGCCACTCCACCCCAGGCTGCCACCCCCGGGCCGGGTGCCTGATTGGAGGAATGCCAGCAGGGAACAGCTTGGAATGCTAAGCTTTGCTGCTATTTTGGCAGTGTCAGCTGAAGCCTCTTGTGCAACTCTTTTCTTCCCCTCCCCAGAGCCCATATAAGCCCTTGCTATTGTATGGCCTCAGAGAACTGCTATTTTAAACCCCAGATACCCAAGTGCCCAAGAGTCTGACACAAGCCAGCCAGCTGTCACTCTCGAGTGGCCTGGAACTCTGATATGGAATGCTTCTGCCCTGCGAGGGCTCATGGTGGAAATCTAGAAGGCTAGCAAGTGAAGCTCGGCACATGGCTTTGTTCTCCCTATCCCACCCCCCAGGTCCCTTTAATTGGAACACCACTGACCCCCTACTGCCTGCACAGCTGCTTTGGCAAATGAGCAGAGATGACAGGGTAGAGCTAAATGACAAGCTACATTTTAAAAAAAAAAGTATGCACAGAAGCAACCATTAAACTGGAGGCTTAAATCAACTCAACTGAGCTGGTCACTAGAACTTGCTTGCTCTACTCCCAAGAGATTTGTGGTACTTAAGAGTCTTTTAAATCTCTCTCTCTTTGACTCTACTTGTTCCAGGGACTTAACTACATATACATGGACTCATGCCTAGAATGGCCTTCAAGTTAAAGTGAGATTAGGCAAATTCACGGAGATTAATAGCTATTTTTCATGACAGCTATACACCAGAATCAGAGGCAACTTGTCTCTGAATACTGATTACTGGGCAACAACTGCAGAAGAGGGGTGTTGTGAGCTACCCATGGGTGCCTGGTTGACTATTGTGAAAATAGGGTGCTGGGATAGATACTCTTTTATTCTGATCCAAAATAGCTCTTCCTATGTTCCATTAAAAGAAAACATGGAGGGAAATCATCCAAGTGAGTTTATCTTTAAGCCCTACACAGAAAGTTTACATGCCTCCCACAACCCACTCAATAGGAATTCTAATACAGATTTTCCTTCTGATACCCATCTTGTTATTTAAGTTTTCAAAACTTCTCCATTTCAATGAATGTTTTTCACAAGAAGTTGCCTGTCAGTTAACCACATAGCATTTCTAAGGTCATCTGGAGCTTGTTTTAGGGCACATAGTTCAGACCAAGTGGAAGCCAGACTTGAAGGGCCTCCTTGGTGCCACATCAAGGATGGGAAACTTGTGGTCCCCCAGATGTTGCTGGACTACAGCTCCCATAATCCATGACTTTTCACCAAGCTGGCTGAGACTGATGGCTACCAACATCTGAAGGACCACAGGCTTCCCATCCCTGCCCTATGTAAATGCCCCTAACATGCTCCTGCAGCTGTGTCTTAGTGTGGGAGATTGGTAGCAGTTAGTAAACTGTCTCTGAAGGAAGCTTATCAGCCATGCATTGATCTTCTCATTGAGGGGTTCTGGGTAAACTTTCAAGGAATCTCAGGGCTCAGAATACAGTTTGAAAGCCACTGACTTCTACAGAGGGTATTACTGACTGCCGGTCCTGTTGAATTCCTTCATGGCCATCTGTCATCTTCTCCCACTGGAGTTAGTCACAGTTATGGACTGCTACTACCTCTGAGCATGCAATGCCTCCAGGTTTAACTATGGTGTCAAAATACTTTCATGGTTACGTTGCCCACTTACATCTATCTCTTGCTGGCCCCTTGAAGCACCTTCTCCAAATGCCTATTCCCATGATGACTCAGCATGTGGACAGATGTAGCAAGGAATATCAGCTTGTCATATAAACTTTCAGTGCATAGTGTGAGCTTCACATGATTGATTTGCCACAGACTCTATTCTGCTGAGGGTTTGGGGTTTTTTTGTTTTTGCTGCAGCTGCTGTATAGCGATCATCACCAACTGTGATGATCCTTAGGGGAGAGACCATCGCTTAGTAGTAAAGCACATGCTCAGCATGCAGATGGTCCCAAGTTCAGTCCCCAACATCCACCGTAAAATAGATCCAGTAGCTCTAGCAGGGGATGTTGCGGAACAGGAAATGGTAGTAGACTAGATAGGCAAATTGTTTCACTTAGTTATGACACTTCCATTTGGTCCTTATGTCCATAGACCGTGAAACCCGTGAAATCGAGGAAATGTCATGATTGTTTGGCTTGTATAAAAGTTCTCTTTCATGTACAAGATCCTCTTGGACATGAGAAATTTCTTCAAATTACAGCATGAAAAATATGCATGAAAAAGTCTCCAGAGCACCATAGTCATTGCTTTCAGTTGGAAGAACAATACCTAAGCAATCATACCAACTATATACAAAGGTACTCAATAGCTGCACACAGAAGAAAGTACGTACATTTGCATCCCCAAACTTTGTTCTATTAGCAGTATGTGAGTTTTCCAAGATCTTGGACTTATACAACAATTTCCTCTGCACTGAGAACTACAGGGTGGGATGTAGGCCCAGAGTAGGCTTAGAGTGGTTTAAAAACAGGCTTAGAAAATAGATTGACGTGGGTAGTCTGTCAAGGCTATTAGGGCTCATACACACTTCCATCTGTGCCACAATTTCTAGGCACAAGTCTGGGCAGGTTTTTTCTTTGCCCCACTGCTTTCCTCAGGAAAACATCCTGTTTGCCGCTGAATCAGAACAAGTGTCAATCGGTTTTCTGTGGATTGATGTTTGCTCCAATTCAGTGGTCAACAGTGGGTTTTCCTGGGGAACGTGGTGAAACAGGGACCCTTCCCTAAAAGGCACAGACCTGTGCCCACAAGTCATAGATCTGTGCTTAAAAACTGTGGCAGAAACAGAAGCATGGATTTAGCTATGGTAGCTAAATAGAAGCTTTGTTTTTAGAAACAGTATAGATCTGAATGCACTAGATTCTGGGGGTACAGAAGTGGGGAGGTGCTATTGCCTTTGGTTCCAGTTTGTGGCTGTCTTAGAGACATCTGGACAGCCACTGTTGGAAACAGACAAAACGGATCTTCAGCCCAGTGCAGTTCTTCACAACCAAGAATCAATTTAAAAAGAGCCAAAGACAGGAAGTACTGGAACCAAAGTGAAATTTATTATGAAATATAGCAAGAGCCAAAATCACCAGTGAATCTAGAGTTAGGTGTTTATAAGTCAAATATACGAAAAATGAAAAATAAAAAACTTTCTGCTCAAACTGGTTTGATTTTTGAGTCAATGGCATAAGCTATTATGGGCAGGGTTCACACAAGAACCTATGGCCCCGATCCAGCTAAAATTTGCCATGACTTAGGCTCCAGTCCTAAGCATAGGAGTAAATCCCACCAAAATCAGTGGAGCTTCCTTCTAAGTAGCAATGCACAAGATTTCACCCTAAGTCCAAATGGAAACATTGAGCCTTGAGATACAACAGATTTGTTCCATTGGTTTTAAGAACATACCCATACTGCATGATAACACATACATCCTTTGATATTTTGTCAGGATGACTTTTTAGCAATTCTTTGCACAGGGTTGGCAGGGCTGCTGTAGCAAGAAGCCCCCCCCCCACACACACACACATTTTGAGGCATCCTGCACCCTTCTGCCACCACACACAGGTAGCCCATCTCCCTACCTCAGATACCAGAAATCTCCATTGAGGACAGCCCTGACCAGTTGCAGTTTTCTCACAAATTCTCTCCCTTTGAATCAGCCTCTTTCATCCCAGTGACGTCATCACCACTGGCTACCAGTCATGATGGCTATATGTTACCTCCAGTGTCAGAGGCAGAATGTCTCTGAATGCCAGCTGCTAGGGAATACAAGTAGGAGGCAGCTATTGGGCACATTTCCTGCTCATGGGCTTCCAAAAGGCTTCCGATTGGCCAGCGTGAGAACAGAATGATGGGCCAGACAGGCTTTCGGTCTAATCCAGCAGAGCTCCTCTTATGTTCTTAAGATCCAGCCATGTGGTGGCGTAACTGGTGGCAAGTAGATATACTAACTGTATGCAGTCACTGCAGGGTACATGAGTTACATGGTGAACCCTATTGTTATGGCAGATACAAAACTGAAGGAAAATCCAGAGAATGGGCCACATGTATTTCATACCTTCAAGGTTGCTAGTAGAACTTAAGGCTTTGCTATTTGGGGGCTAGCAGATACAGGAGTGGAAAGGAACAGAAGTGGATCGTGGGTAATATAGTTTCCATGACATAATCGCCATCTTTCCCATCCACCAATTAGAAGCATTTTTTAAGTCACCAAGAAACCCCATCCATGAAAAGGCACCATAGGCAGCTTGACTGATAGATACTCTTTGGCGGGCAAATGGCCTGGTGGAACAGTCTGAAACCAAGGAATGCAGGGTAATTTCAAGTGGTCCAGGCCCTTGATTTAAATGGAGATAATGTTGTCCCCAGAGCAGCTTGTACAGTGACACCTGCAAGATAAAAGGAAGCATTAGGCTAGTGCAGAGCTTGCTGCAAGGGAGAAAGAAGGGTGAACGGGACTTTGAATCCAAGCCTTGGGCACCAGTTTGCATATATCCTACAATATTAGCATGTAGACTTCTTCAATAAATATCCGGGGGGGGATACAATTTCATTAAATATTCCCTCCAAATTATTATTAATTAAATGTATATCTGAGCTCCAAGGAGCCAGGTAGACCACATAGCTCCCCCAGTATTCTATCTTCACAAGAATACTGTAAGGTTGGTTAGGTTGTAAGACAGTGGTAAGTCAAAGTTACCTTTATGTTCCTGACTGCACTTAGACCTTACCTTCCTCACAGGGGTGGTCGTCTCAGCCCGGATGGGGACAGTTGCTTCAAAGTGAGCTTCATGGCTGAGGTGGGATTTGAATCTGGGTTTCCCAGGTCCTGATCTGACATTCTAACCACTACATATTGTGCAAATTTTAACTCATTTGGGCCACCTATCACCAAAGATCACGAGAACACATTTCTGGTGTCTCTCTTTGAGGTTACAAATTTGCAGTGTTATAACTCTGAGAAACCCATGTTCTGATCCATTGGCCTGATGCTCTTTCAGCTCATCCTATTCCATGCCTGTTTGGGACCTTTAACATTATGGCCCCAGTCTTAACCTTCCAAATGGGCAAAGTGGTCTTTGTAGTGGATCCATATACAATCACTTCAAAAAGCATCCAGACTAAATCTTACTCTTGCT